CGATGGCGAAGATCATGCGCCAGCGGTGCAGGCTGCCAAAGGAGTCGAGGGTGAGGATCGCAGAGGCGAGCAGACCGCCGAAGGCGCCGGCGAGGGGCGCCATGACCATGTAGAGCGATAGGCGGAAGGTCAGCTCGGCGCGCTGGTACCAGCGGGAGAGGTAGTATGCGATGCCGGGGAGCATGCCGGCCTCGAAGATGCCTAGGAGGAAGCGGACGCCGCAGATGGCGGCGCGGTCCTTGACGAAGGCGGTGCAGATGGAGACGATGCCGAAGAGGAGGGTTGTGATGGGGAGGAACCAGCCCGGGCCCATTGCTTTGCAGGCGATTGTGGCGGGGATCTCGAAGAGGATGTAGGAGATGTAGAATACGGAGAGGATCATGTTGTAGTCGTAGCCTTTTAGTTCGAGGTCCTTGTCGAGGCCGGCGATTCTTGCGTTACCTATGAATGGGATGTGAGTAAATACAGAGACATTGTGGTTGTAAGGTGGGTTTTGATGATATCACTTACCAATGTTGGCGCGGTCGATGAAGCAGAAGAGATACAACAGCGCGACTGTGGGAATGGTGTGCAAGTCAAGCTTCCATCGCAACTTTCGTACAGCTACGGGGTCGAATTCGACGAGAGAGTGGCCATATCTGTCAAGTTATTGTCAGTCCCGTGAATGATGGACACTGAGAGGTGAACGTCAAGCTACTCACTTGTCGGTAGCAAGCTGGCCCTTTCCAGCTGCGTTGTGGATACTATCATGAACAGGAGCAGCACTAATGGCATGGTCCTCGGTCCCCTCGACATGAGTGCCCTTGTGGACCTCCTTCTCCGTGGAAGAAGACATGGCGCAGGTTGAGATGTTCGATAGTTCGGACAATGTCCCTTGAACTCGAGAGTAGACGAAGTAACGAAACCTTAGAGTTTCTCTTCGAAGCTTTCTGTGAGAATCTCAGAGTACGTTATGAGTCTCTGAGATAATGGCTTACAGTCGTCAAAGTCAGACTGGATACTCGAGGAATGAGTTGCCAATACAGACTGAGAAGAGGATCGTGGTCGTCTATTTAAATCCAGCGGTACCTCGTACATCGTTGGAAAAGAACACACCCTGGTAGAAAATGCCGTACCCATGTCCCTAGCTCAACCCCCAAGCATCCCAAGCATTTACCGGGCACCACTCTATTGGGGACCAGAGCTGCATCTTTGGCGTTGCCGCACCCTCCATGTTTAGGGCTCCATCAAAGTGGGAATGCCTGCGGGGTAGGGATACGCCATCATCGAGGTTGTATCGGACGTATCGTTTGCTGAGAAAGATTGTCACTTTCTCCTCCAATTGTGGACTGGGTTGTATCAAAGATGCCGGGACACGACCATTGCAGCGTTTGACGCGGGAGATCAGCGCTGCTATGATGGCATCAGCGTGATAGTCTTTGAAGCTCAACGAGAACACCACGAACAGAAAATCCACGAACATTCTGAAAACTCATCGTTTCTCGAGTAATGTTTGCCTGCTGAGTCCGAATCTCCAAATGACTCCGCCTGGAGGCGATTCCCCCAGGTTCTCCGCCCTGCCCGCCCCCGCAATCCTGGGGAAAACATCCACTTTGGTCCGTCGGAGGCTCCACGTGCCCAGGTTAAGACCCCAGCTTGAGTGGTTCAGAAGAGCCAATGAGGCCTGTTGAGTTGCAATCTCGAGGGGTGTTAACAGTGCCAAGAAAGCTAGAGCAATTTGTCTTCGGCAAATGGGATCGGCAAGTGAGGTTGAAAAGGTAGCGGGAACTGCCAGCGTACGCGCATGTAGAGTTGTAGATTCATCACAATGCTGCAACTTATGCGGAGCCTCTACTAGCACACCTCGAGAAAGATCTTGCTCTCCGAGAAACCGAGCCTTCCGCAACAGAGTCGCTCTGTGGAAAGAGGCTCGGAACGGGAGCCGTTTGCTCCCTCGACTCGAGCGAGTCAAGGGTTGGAGTTAGTGCTATGCCCAACTGCCCTCATTGGTGTTGGTTACGCGGAAACTTCGAAGCGAAAGGGCTGGCAATCCGTCAGGTCGGGATAGGCTACTATCCCACCGGCCAAACTTAGTTTTGGATATTTGCGTCTAATTCTCAAAGAGGCTCCTATTCAGCCCTTCGATGATCACAGGGTGTGGTCTCAACGCTCGGCAGATCAAACGTTCGAATTTGAAGAGGCCACCTCGAGAATCAGCATCTGGACGGAGATGGTGCTCCTAGGCTGAACGTTCGTCCAGTGTTGGTGATCATCAAAAGTCAATGTGACAATGTCCTTCCAATTCTGTTCGTCCCATGTTCGGTTGTATGGCAAAGGCGCAGGCCGGGAAACCATTTTACCGGCACAGCCATGGAAACTCTGACGTTCCTTTGGTTCAGCTTGACAGGAAGTTGCAGTAAATGCATGAGTGTCTGTAAGGGCGACGCCGTAGGATTGATGGATTGGGTGGCTGCAACGCAATCATCAAGCGCTAGAGCAGTATATGATAACCGCGGGTACTCATGTTGCCGTCGGTTGAATCGTGCTGGCAGATCGTCTCTGCAATCCACCCGCGGTAAAACATGTCGATATCCCGAGGTTACTCTGCAGTTGGACACTGCAGACGCTGCAGATTGGTGGACGAGGCGTGAAACAATTACCTCGGTGGAACTTGCAGGTTAGCCACCCACACCGTTCGGATACACAAAAACCCTCTGAGACATGACAGTGGCCATGTGGCATTGGGGGACCTGAACGAGCTTGGCGCAGTGGGCGGCTTCAGCGGCTTTGGTGGTGAAGGGCTGCATCTTCGGCCGAGAGAGGGAGGTCGTACTACTGAGCACTGCCGTGCTCCGTGAGGATGCTCCGTACACGTACACGCAATTGTGGTGCGTTGCATTGAGACTCAAGAGACATCGAATCTCAACTGCAGCACCTGTACTCCGTACAGCGGAACAAGGTGTCGCATGCAGCTGCCCGAAAGGGGCTGGCTCGGTGACAAATGCTGCTCCGCTGTGATGCGACCCTCAACAACAGCGCCGCTTGGCGATGGGCAAGGTCGACTCGATCCTTTGCCGCTTCTTGGTAATCATAAATACCACCGAGGAGACGATCCGGAACTTTATTGTCCCTTCGCAATGTGTTTTTGGGAGAAAAGAGGTGACCAAACATGGTTATATGTGACCGTGTGCCTCGAGCGCTGTCGATGATTTGTTCCCAGCAGGCGTCCGGTAATCATCTGCCATAGGCTACCGCAGAAAGTCGGATTTCGTTGCTCATCAAGGGTGGTATAGCGCAAGTAATTGCAGTACCGTCATTTGGGTGGTATTTCGGGAATATTGTTGCGATTCCCAAGCCACTTCGGCCAGTGTCGTTGCAAGATGCAGCAGTCAGCGGCGTCCAGAATATGAGACATCCAATGACCATCAACTGGCTGACGACGCGTCAAGAAAGCCAAGCTCCTGGAGAAGTTGAGTAGTTTATTGTCGATCGGAAATGACACAAAGATCATCACCAGCCGTTCGCAGCGACAACGCCCGCTGCCTCACCCGGCGCCCTTCCCAGAGTTCAACGGCCCAAACTCAAGATGGCGGTCAGTGGTGCCGCGGTGGCGGAACCTGGCACTGTTAAGGCTGACTGCGTAGTCGGTGTCGAAGGAAGACGATGCGATTTTGCTAGGTCGGCACCGTCGTGTCCGGACATGGCCGCCGTCTCAGACCCTGAGCTGGGACGTCCCAAGACTTGGAAGACTCCTGATAAACGCGAAGATCGTGGAACATCAGGGGGTGGAGTCTTGTCGCTGCCAGCTGGGAATGGCTTCAAGTGGACGGCGTTGTGGTATTCAGCTGCCAAACGGGAAAAAGAGCTGAAAGACTGTGGATAGCTAGGGGGAGCTTGGGTGCCATTGTGCCACTACCAGCTCTTGGGGATGTCTCGGAAGACCCTGTCGTTCTTGTTTGACGGTGTTTGCTGGCAGCCAGAAACTAGGGGTGGGAAGACGGATGAACGGCGACAGCGGAGGGCGGAGGGAGCTGGTGGGGGGTTCCGTCCAGCAACAAACAAGAGAGGTACGCGGAAGGTGAGGAGGCACAGTGGCCAATCAGAGATGAGTAATCATAGAGAATGCTTACCTAAGTCGGCAGCGGAAGCCAGAGACTCCGGACCACAGACGACGCCTCTGATTGGCCATTACGCATGAATAGAGCAGCTCTAGTGATCCTTCGCCTCGCTTAGCTCGAGCTTAGCGGGCTTCTCCCACTACGAGATTCCCTGAGAACACTGGCTGTGCGAACTTTAGGCAAGTTCACTGAGCCCGCCTGCACTCCCTGTCTCAACGATGGGACGGCGTGGACGGCACCTAAAATGTTCCCCAACGTCAAAATACCCAACCTTACTAGGTACCTTAGGTACCTTACCTTATGGCGCCGGAGACGGATCATCAGCACCCGTGGATCCCATCTCCCTGAGGTGGGCTTCTGGAGGACTCCCGTCCCAGCTGCCCCTCTCTGGCTTTCCCCCAACGCCCAGATGACGTGAGACGCCCACCAGACCATCCCACGCATCCAAGCACATCCCAGCGAACATGCATGTGGTTTTGCGTTTCCCACCAAGCACCGCGCACCAAGCACACCAAGCCATGCTTTTTCGAATATCCATTCTCAAATCGGAGCTAGCGAGTGGAAGGGTCTCGGCCCGGGGGGCTGAGGTCTTGCGCTGCCATGGCTTGGCTTACCCTTAATCAGGTTGGCTTTCTTCTTGACCACCATCCTTCCTTTGCGCGGCGCACCTCCGTCAGCACCAAGAAGCTTTTTGTTGCTTGGGTCGTCAGCTTTTACGTCTCCTTTCTTTTGGCACATGTTCCCCCGGCCGTCTGACTGAAGCAAGCTAGCTTTTCGACCAAACATCTACCATTGATCCTCACGATCCATAGTACTATCGTCGCATCGCGCCTCCGACCCGACGACAAATTCGAGATACCCCAGAGATACCCCCAAGAGAGTGACGACAAACAATCCGCACAGATGCTTCGTAAGAAAGAGGTCTACACGACCGTCACCCCCATCCCGGGCTTCATCCCCCGCCAGCTCGCCATCGATATCCTCCACTCCCACTCCGAGGTAATCACCCTCAACCCCCTCGTCCTCGACCACAAGCCTATCAAGGCGCCCCGCGATGCCGCCTCCGACGAGTACTACTCGACATGGTACGAAATCACCGAGCGCATCCAGTACATCCCCGGCATCGGCAAGATGGGTTCCGGCAAGATCAGCTTCAACGGCTGCTTCCACGATATGCCCTGGGGCCTGCAGACGCACACCTACGCGCCCATGAACATCGACATCCGGATCAAGTACAAAATCGACGGCAACCAGCCCGGCGTCGAACCGCCCCAGCCGCCCGAAATCGGTATGTCCGGGCTCGGCGTACCCGCAGACGGACTCTACCTGCGCGAGGATATCGAGATTCGCTGTAACATCACCATGGTCAACTTTGTCAAGGCGCAACTCAAGGCCGCGAGCAAGGAAATGGTGTCCAGAATCATCAAGAAGGCGGAGCTGCTCGATGCGGGCGTGCTGCAGGCCATGATCACGGACGGGAAGCTCAAGACCATCAACCCGGCCGACCGTACCAGCACAGGCATGCCCGGCGCGCATTCTCCGTTATTCAATCAGCGCCCCGACGGCAGTCCAAGACCGGAATCTTATTCGCCCACAACACCATACCAAGTCCCAAGACCAGTCTCGATGCAACAGTTCCGCCCCGGCTCGCAGGGCAGCTACGGCGCACATCAAAACCAGCCGTCGGAGCTCTACTCCCAGCAAAGCGCACCACCTCAAACCTCCTTCATCGCCGAACTCCCCGGTAACTTCTACCACCCCCAGCAATCCTCCAGCAACCTGCAACCCCCGCAACCGTCCCCGGGCCTACAAGGCGGTGACCGCGACTCCATGTCGCAACAATCACAGCTCTCCCCCGAACCAAACTCATGGCGCTGGTCCCAGGGCCAACCGAGTCCGTCGCAACAGAGCTCGCGGCCGACGAGCATGGCCTCATCCGAGGCGAGTAGCGGATACGCCAGCCCCGCGCTCGATCATAAGGGGTTCTCGTCAGAGTTACCCACGCACCCGGAGACGCAGGAGGAGCACCGCGGGGATGCGCATGCCAAGGCGGCGGAGGCGGCGCAGCAGCAGCAACAGCAGCATAGGGTCAAGGGGCCGCAGGCGTATCCGACGTATGGGCAGGCTTATGCTTATAATCCTGCTGACTATGCGCCGATGAGTAGATGAAGAGGGACCCCTTTCGCAGAATGAAACCACCGATTTTTATGTGTGTTATAATGCCAGGAGTTCAAGGGACTGACATGAGCGCGGATTCGGGCTTGGTTTGGCAAACACTTTCTTTCAATGATACCGCTTCGTTTGGGGGAATGAGATATTATTTGTTGTACCTATGGGAGACATCACCTGGTCAAACGTTGGCCAACCAGGAAAAACGGAGTTTATCTCTTTCAAATTATTTCATAATGCTAGTCTACGATTGACAGTATCATCTCACCAGTGTATACTTTTTTGTCTCGGAATTGAATTTGTCTTGTATTGTGGCTGGATGAGTTGTCTGGTAATCGTAAGCCTACTTCTGCCGATGCCTTGCACTGCGAAAGTGATGTAACAATCACCATCTCTCACCAAGTACGTGTAGGCCATGTTGTTTCCAACCATCTTGATCATCTTGATGAGATATACGCCATCATGGCTCCGAGCAGAGAACTTCTCGGATATCCAAATGAGTTGCGGTAGGTTATTTCATGCTTTCACCCCCCCCCCCCCCTCCCCCCGACTGATTCCAGTATTGAGATGCCGGAATTTGAATATATCGGAAGTTTATTGCCAGACTATGGATATGGTGGACAGTTTCATCGAAAGGTGTTGGATTCGAAGAAGCCGGCAGAGTCATGATTAAATTCTACAAGGAATCTCGAATGACCTAAAAACCGATCTTTTGACAGTCAACAGATGGCATTAACAACGAGAATACACCCATATCCAAATCATTATTCAACAAAGTAAGGAGGTTGCTTCCTTCTTCGAGTCGCAATCAAGACAGCAATACTTGTTGCGTTGGTAAGATTGCTTGGGCGGTGGTTTAGTCCAGATGCTACCATGTCTTTGAATTACTTCGAAGCAGCTTGGGCAAGAAGCTAATATGACTCCTTTACTAGTAACAACCTAGACCAGAAAGGACTACTCGGGGGGATTTCTCGAAAGAGCTGTGACGACTACCCTTCCTTGTAGTTCCACCCTGCCATTGCCCATCTGGATTACACTCACAAGACGCACCTTCTCGGGTAATAGTCATTGATATATTGCGGAAATCATTCCTGGGGTTTGAAAGAGATTTTTTCTCTCTCAATCCAGGTCAGCCATGATGTCGGGACAAACCAGTCGGATCAACGCGTGCTTTGAAGCCAAGTCATCTTATTGATACCTGTTGAGAACCGTCCGTCATAGCTACGAGCACAAAAATAGGAACCGCGTATAATACATAACAAATCCTCGAAATTGCCCAGCACACCTCTCCCGTTCCAGACATCTTTTTTTTCGAAACAACGTCTCGGCTCTGTCGCATTCACCGCGATCTTGCTGTTGAGCTTATTGTGTCTAAAATCGGCCATCATAGTCACCACAACTTCATGCTTGAGCGTTAACCTTGCGAGGACGGCCGCGGGCACGCTTCTTGGGGGGCTCTTCGTCTGCCTCAGACTGCTCCTTGGCCGCAGGCGCAGGCTTGTCCTCAGCAACGGATGCTTCTTCAGACTTCTCAGGCTGCGACTCCTCAGCTGCGGCGTCATCGCGCTTCTGCTTACGTCCGGGTCTACCTCTGGGCTTAGGCTCGTTTGAAGCCTCTTTCAAGACCTCAATCTCGATATCTGACTCCGCAGCATTGATCTTGCGAGGGCGACCGCGTCCCTTCTTGACAGGCATAGCAACAGCCTTGATGCACTTCTCGCGCCCACCCTTGGACTTCCAATAGTTTTCGACGTGCTGGCGAGCATACACCTCGACTTGCGACTCGGGCTCCCATGATCGCTCAGGGGAGCCAATCCAGCAAACGTAGAGCTGGACTGCGCCAGAAGGCTTCTGCTTGTGCTTTTCGACCCGGAGAGCGTGCCAGAGATTCTTGTCGGCCATGGCACCTAGCCTGCCACCCTTGAGGCTGTTCCAGTACGCAAAGAGTGCTTCCTCGGCATCCTCGTGAATAGTCTGTTCAGTCTCCCACGTGGGATCGTCGTGCTTCCAGTTGATGTGCATTTGAAAGAGGGTCTTATCGTTAGGATCGCGGCGATGTCCAAGGATCTTATCAAACACAAACATGCCGTTCTTTGGGTCGTCCATCTCCACGTCCTCGTCGCCCGCGGCATTCGTAGCGGAGTTTTCGGTAGGAGCAGCCTCAACAGTATCGGCGTTATCAGTGGACGTGGCAACGTTGATCTCGGCATCCTCTGCTGCAGGAGAAGCCACTACAGTCAAGTCAGTCTTGATCCCTGTCAAAAAGGACATGTAGCGTACCTTGCACTGCCTCCTTGACGGGGCTCTTTGCACGAATCTCCTCAGCCTCTACTTCGGCTTCAAACTGGTTTCCGAGCTGGATAGTGGTATTGCCCTCAGTGCCATTCGCAGCCTCAATCTCTTGATCAGTCTCCTTATCGGCAGGAGCAGGGCTTTCCTCTACATTTGGCTCCCTACTGCGCTTGCGGCTCACAATGGTCTGTTCAAAAGTTGATGTGACAGTTGTAGTACCAGTGCGCTGTCCAGTTATATTGTTGACCACGTTGGAAAATGTCTTGCGAACAGAGGATACAACGCCAGCCCGGGGCGCACCTGGTTCCGGTGTAGACCCGGAGGCTTCCGCGTCAGGTGTAGCCTCCATGGCAGTAACTGGGGCAGTGGACGAGGTCCGCTCTGAGGTATCGTTCTCAGCGGGAGCAGCGGCAGTAACGGTATCGGCAGGCGTGCTACGGTCGACAGCATCCACGTCGTCGGCGGTATCGCTCAAGGCCTTGCGCGGCGAGGGGCTTACGGGAAAGCGCGGAGAGGGGTTTTGTGAAGGCGGCGAACGGGATCGCGAAGCATCCGAACGTGGAGTTCCAGTAGGCGCGAGGCTCTTGATGCGCTTGTTCGGGTGCGGCGACTGTGAGCCGGAGGGCTTGCCGGGTGATGAGAGAAAGGTGTTAAATGCGCCATTCTTCGTGGTCTGGGGTTTCTTGACGGACTGAGTGCCATTAGGCGGCGCAGGAGACTCGGCCAATCGAGCCATGATGGAGGGATTTGATCTAGACGATAGGTATCTGGTGATGGTCGAGGCGTTTGCGCGCTCGGATGGCGTGGATCGTTGGCTTGCGCCAGTCGAAATCGTTCAATATCGATGATGATTCCTGGATTGGAAAAACCAATTGATTCGCGAAAAAACGGCGCACGATGAACGGGGACAGGTTGCAGCCAATTGCGCGGTGTCAGAGGCAGAATGATTGACTCGGCGACGTTTTTTTGAGGTGAAATGAGAAGAAGACGAGGCGTGCGGTGCTGGGCAGCTTCGGTCGCGGGAGGAGCTTTGGCCTTTGGTTTCTGCTCTGTTGAGTGCAGGTGCGGTGCGGGTGCTCTCCACTGTCGTTCCTGCTCCCATTCGGGCGGTGCTGCTGACGTAAGAGGATCAAGCTATTAAGTTTGGCGCGGAAACTACGACCGGGAACTTCAAGGAAGGTGCCTTACGCGACGCGATGACGGTGGATCCACAGTGGGGGCTTCTGCCGTTGGCTTCCATAGGTTCCCTGTCAGTACGTACTCGCGTAAACCAGAAGAAGGTTAGCGCACGTGATCTCCCCACCCATCCTTCCTGCCGGGTCCAAAATTCGGGAAGGCGTGCCACGGTGGGTGAAGCGAGGCATCTGGGGAAGGAAGGTGTGAGAAAGCCGTCGGCTCAGATGGAAGGCAACATGACTTCTCGTCATAATCTTCTTTAGCTTCTAACTTCTTGATTGAATCTTTGCAAATATGCTCATCTCCTGCGAACTCCTAACCTCTTGTTTCAACCCCGAGGACGTCCAATATGCACGGTGATCTTTCACAGCGACAAACACGGCTTCCACTGCAACTAGGCAAGCAACGTCGTGCTAACAAAAGTAGCAGGCAGCAGTCTCGTCGGCTTTAAGAAAGTTGCCTTGGCCTCGATTTTCCCAAAGATCATGTCTACATTTCCCTAGGTTGACTCTTGCGTTCTCTGCATCAAACTGAGCCGCAAATTACCCAAAGAGCAAGGATCGCGGGGACACTCGGCCAAATCCATATGCTCGGCGCACCACCATCCTCGAACAGCCTCCAATGATACAGCTTCGGCATTGAAGCCAGCCTCCCTCCCGTCTCGAGGAAGAAGTTCAGGCTGCCGTGATAACCTTGGCCAACGCACATTTTCCCGTTTTGCTGGCTTATGGCGTCCGGTGACAAGGGGGTAGAAGGCTCAGACCCGCCAATCTGCAATTACGTGCCATAAGCCGCATGACTGCCGCAAAATTCCCAGTTCGCAAGCGTGGAATTGGCCCAGTTGCCCTCTGCAGAGCGGCGCAGTGGGTGACCCTTGTCGCTGAATCGTTGCAATCCTACAGGCTACTTCGACATGCCGAATGTCATCCTTCCTGCGGCAGCCTTTTCACCATTTGGATGCGTCGTACTCAACGGAATGGATGAGTGCAATGAGGCAGCCAGCATGGGTTGTGTTCGATTCAAACCTACATAAACGAGCCATTTTCCTTCCCATCTCCAGGCACCTTATACGAGATTTGTCGACAATACCCGCGAGTCCAGGGCGACACCATGGAAGCAGTAGGTGGAACCGCTGCCATCTTGCAGCTGATCGATGTGGTGCTTAAGACCACTGTCCAAGTATATAAGATTTACGGAGATTTCAGAGATGCCAAGGACACCCACAAACAATTAACGAGGGAAATGAGCGACCTCGGTCGTGTCCTCCAACAGCTACTGGATGTAGTCCTAGACAGTGATCCCGACGAACCGAGATCCGGACATGCTCAAGCTCTGCGGGAAATATTGGAAGGAAATGACAACATTGTATCGTGTTGCCAAAAGGATGTTGACAAGATCTCCAGCCTACTAGGGAAAGACTTAAAAATATCATGGCCAATTCGCAAAAGGAAGATTGAACAAATTCTCGCCAACATTGCATCGACTAGGGCACAACTAGTCCTCGCGGTTCAGACACAGTCAATGTAAGATCTCATTATGCAATACACAACGGTCGCCAATCTGACCGAATTAGGGCTCTTGTATTGGATATCCGTCGCATGCTGGATAGACACGAATCCTACATGAGACAACACGTCAAGTCTGAGTCGAATAAGGCCATCCTTGCTTGGTTAAATCCGCCCGACGTGTGGGAGAGCCTGAAAAGTGCTCTCCAAAAACGACAGCCAGGTACCGGCAAATGGCTGATGAAGACGCCCGAATTCGCGTACTGGAAAGGGAATCCGGGTAGTCTTTGGTTGTCTGGCATGCCAGGAGCCGGGAAAACCATCATGAGCTCGACCATAGTGACGTCTTTGGTTAGCGAAGCCCAAACACCTACGCCTGCTGTTGTTTACTCGTACTTCGATTTCTCGAACGAGTCGCAACAAGAAGCTCAATCGTTTCTGCGAACATGCATCGCCCAACTTGCAGCAAAGAACCCTGCCGCTTATGATGTTCTTGTTGGTCTCCGCAATCGATGCTCGGAAGCCCAAGGTCAACAGCCCAGACTTGAAGAGCTTCTTGAAGCAACAATAGCCTCCCTGGGGTGCTTTCACGAAGTGTTCATTGTAGTCGATGCGCTGGATGAGTGTTCGGAACGTAGAAAGTTGCTGAACATAGTCAAAGAGCTTCAGTCCGTACGCAATCTTCATCTGGTACTCCTGAGTCGCCCAGAACGAGAAATCGAAAAGGCCCTGTCATCTTGCGCGCAAGAGTTACCATTGCGGGGCATTGAGGTTGATCAAGATATTGCATCCTACATCCATGACAGAATTCACAGTTCGGGGGAAATGCAAGAATGGACGAGGGAAGACAAGGCGAAAGTCGAGGCCCAGCTAACTGAAATGGCCGGTGGAATGTGAGTTTCCCTTTGCCTACTTACTATGAAGAGCTATAACGCAGCTAACCCGAGACAATGTGAAGGTTCCGTTGGGTACAGTGCCAGCTGGACTCTTTGGAGAAGTGCATTGATTCCAGTCAGGTTGACGAGACTCTGGCTTCTTTGCCGTCTGACCTGCCATCGACGTATGAGAGAATACTAGTCAATCTGGATATCAAGTCAGCGGTACGAGTTCGAGACGTCTTGGTAGCACTGGCCTTTGCTCGACGACCTCTGCAGGTTGGCGAAGTTATGGATATTATCAGCATATCCATCACCAACTTCCCTCGGGCGAACAAGCATGGAAACACGGTCTACTTGAACCAGCTGCTTTCTCTCTGCTCGAGCATGGTATCAATATCTAGTGGAGGGGGCGAGAAGAAGAAGCAAGAAATGCGGCTTGCGCATGCCTCGGTCAAGGACTATCTTGTCTCTGAACATTTACGCAACGGACCAGCATCTGCATTCTATACAACCCCTGGACAAGGGCACCTTCTCATGGCCGCCAAGTGCGTTGCGTGTCTGCTGGATCAAAACGACGTCAGCCACTTTGGGCCACATACTTTGGGAGAGGTTCCGTTCCTGCTCTACTCTGCTCTGAATTGGGTCCATCACGCTAGGGATGCGAATCTGGAGCCTGATCGAGGAAGCCTTGACGACTTGATTTTCGCCTTGTTCCATCGTGACGGCGACGCTTACATCAACTGGCACCGCGTGACAGGCCGGCATGGGCCTGCAACGCCAGTGGAGGGCTATGCGTGGGACATACACATCAGAGACGGCAGTAGGCTGATTGACGGCGGTCGACCATGCCCCAAGGAACGACTGTTAAACGGCCACCAGCTTGATCGTCCGCTCCACCACGCACTACAATGGAACCTGTGGCGCGTCGTCCAGCGTCTTCTTGATGCCGGTCATGATCCCAATGGCTATAGTAAAGGAAATCGCGCTCCACTTCACTACGGAGTACTTCAACGGGCTCTGGAGTCGATGGATCTTATCCTCAATCGGGGTGGGAATATTGACATCCGCGACTGGATTGGCGACACACCGGCCATGTTTTGCGCTTACAAGGCTCAAGATCCAGTGACGATGGAGTGGTTGATGGACCGCGGCGCAAGTCTCTTCCCCGTCAGCAGAAGGTCCGGCAGTCTCTTGCAATGCGCAGCTATGGAGGGTGATCCGGAAGTGTTGGAAGTGATCTTGCGGAAGAAGCCACCTAACGTATCCCCGGACATTGGTGTTGATCACAACTATAACGAAATCGCCGACCTTGCCACGCCACTTCAATGCGCAGCGTATGCAGGTAACTTGGCATGCATCGAGCTACTGCTGAAGTATGGTGCCGAAATCAACTTGGCCAAAGGCAAAGTTGGGACGCCCCTTCATGCTGCAGCGGCGTCCGGAAATCTGAAGGCCCTTCAGCTTTTATTAAGTAGGGGGGCGAATCCTAATATTTTCAATGGACAATATGGAAGTGTGATTTGGGCTGCTGGGTACAGTGGCAACCGTGAATGCCTTCGCTTTTGTCTACAACTGGGGCTGCCTATCGACGGACTGGATACCATGCGTCTCTCCCCTGGCAGGAATTGGCAGTGTATTGCTGGAAATGAAAGGGAGACACTCTTGTCTGACATTATCAAAACTGCAGGAGACCGCTACTGTCGGGACATCCTTGACGCCGCCAGGTTGGGCATGACTTCGCGCGTCAAGGCATACCTTGATAGTGCCACGGACCGCAAGGCTGAACTGGGAAAGAAGCATGACCTTCACATGCGAACACCTTTGCTTTGGGCGGCGGCAGAGGGGCATATTGAGACTGTGAAGTACTTGGCAACGGAGGGCGCAAGCCTTGATCAATGGGGGAGAGGTTTCGACACCCCGCTTGAAATTGGGTGCCTTGCCGGCCGCTTGGATATGGTAAAGTGTCTATTGGCTTCAGGGGCGAGAGCCGAGTTTCGACAGGCGGGAAAACATCGGACAGCAGTCGTATGTGCTGAGATCAGTGGCAATAAGGAGTTGATTGAGTTTCTGAAAACATTGGAGGAGGATCGGACTGCGACGTTCGAGTTTGAGGGGCAGACCTACGAGCATGATGGCAACAAGGGTTACAAGCGAAAGCAGTGATCACATGATCTCTATTTGATACTCTCGCTGCCGGGAGGAGCATGCAGAGCTCTTGGAAATTGACTCCGGGGATCGGGACCCCGTATCGGTCCGATGGAACCGAGTGTCTCCATTTCGCCGGTCGGTCAATTGCGGATGAAACACGGAGAGAGTGGGGCCCGGTACCGGTCACGGGGCTTCGCGACCAGGCGGCGGAAGGAGGGGCGGCCATCGTTTACCAAGTATCCGTCTCTAGTCCGTACCTTTATCCAGTGATGTGGAAGAAGTAGCCGTACCCCGTTTAATTCGCTTATGCTGGCGACCCCATGTCCATTTGTGACTTGCAGGATGTTCGCTGCCAGAGAGCCACGGTTTAATGGAATGGCTGGGGTAATTTCCCCGGGCCAGGTGTGCAGACCCATGAGAACTCAGAAGCGACAAAAGCATGTCATGAAGCATCCAAGATTGGCTCTGAAAGAGTAAAGGGGCAGGCGGATACTTTCAAAACAGACGACGACATGTTCTTCATCCTAGGTGATTCGTCCATTGCAGAGTGCAGCCATCTTAAAAAGGAACAGGGCAGTATCGTTCACTCGGCGTGGCACCCCGGAACCCAGGTCCCAGCGATTCGCGAAACTGGGAAGTGAGGATATACATCCCACCCATTCCGCCTGATTGGAGCTTTCGGGACCCGAGAGTGTATGAGTACCGCATATATCAGTGATGTGGGCAGACGAGGTCGACAATCGTGGGAGGTTGGGCGACGTTTTGGGCGCAGCCAGGTGAGAGTGCGAGTATCCGCAAAGTTGAAGGTTGAGTGGAACCCCCCCAGCCACTGGAATTGTCGACACCCGACGAGGGACCCTGAAGGCGCGAGAAGATGGGCGCTGCGCTGCCCCGCTGAGCTGGGCGACACCACAGCAGCGCTGCACGTAATTAAATGTGGTGCGATTTAAGTGGACGTTGGGAATTTGTTAGTGCATTCGAAGTACGTAGTATCTGTACTCTCTCTGTCTGGTTTCCCAGCCACTTTGAATCTTTACGAAAGTTAAGTTGTCAAACCCTGAAATGTCCGAGAGCCCAAATTCTTTCTCTCGCTCGGGTACATTGTCTGTTCCTCTTTTTTTTGCTTTTGAGTTCGGATAGTATCATCTCTTCCCTTCTCCCGTTAGCTTCCGCGCCTGGCGAGATCTTGCAACCGCGGCCTTTTTCTTCTGTGTGTTGGCATCGTCTGAGTTGAGACACAGACACCAGACACAGACATACAGAGAGAGAAAGAGAGACAAGACAGCCCCTCAATCCAACGGTTCTCAACGGTCATTGCCCACCTACATTTCCTACCTTAGTTCATCTTGAACCGTCTTTTTCAGGATCAATCTCACTTCACGTCAAACCTGTCAAAACACTAAAAACCAAACGTCAACTCTATCCGCACCTGACCAACCTCACCACCACCACCACCAAACTCTACAACCATTCCGCCCCAACATAACCACCCCGCCGCCGCCGCCGCAAGATACGTCGACCCCGTCTCGTTTGCCATCATGGCCATGGGACTCCAACTGCAGCAACACACCCAGGGCTCGCCGCCCATCCACTTCCCCGGCGACTTTGTCGAGTACGGCCAGCAGTACGACAACAACAGCGGCCACCACAGCGACCCGTCCAGCTCGCAACAGCAGCGTCAATCCCGCGGCGAGGGCGGCAGAAACGGCCGGTATCGAAGACCGCGTTCCCCTTCCCTCGACGACGATTCCCGCTTCACTACCGGGCCCAGCGGCGGTGAGGATCCGCGGGCTAGCTCAGACGCTGCGTTGCATGATGCCGTGCTCGCGCAGGCGCCCCATCAACAGGTGAGTTTTCAGATGTAAAGTTTCAATCAGGGGATCTTCTGGGGAAGAGGGATCGATCGGAGAGTAGTAGAGAAAAAAAAAAAAGCAATGGCTCGGCGAAACACGCACCAGCCACGCTCAATTTCAATACACCTCAACCACCCACCCCCCCTTATCTCTCTCTCACCCCAGCACTCAAGAACTCACTTCACCCAACTCATCTCACCTCACCTCACCTCACTTCATCTCACTCACTCACTCACTCCCCAAATTCACAAACTCCAACTCATCTCACTAAAGGGCGGCTTTGAGACCGCCCTCCCCCAATACCCTACATACAATATCACAACACACAACGCACACATACGCACATACACAACCCGCATCATCACCAAAAAAAAAAAACCATCTGACCGCAATGCAGCAGCGCGTAATCCCAACAAACGGCCGCAACGGAGGTCAACCCCGCGCCGCAGGCCCTCGCGCACCCCCCGCCGCCGCAAACGCCTCCCAGAATCGCCGCTCCCAGCCACCGCCAGTCAACTCCCAGCTGCCGCCCTACATGGGCGAGAACCCCGACGAATGGAGCCCGTCCAAGGACGCCGCAGCAGGAGCAGGAGGCTACTCCCGCCGCCGCACAGAGCGCCACGCCCGCCGGCAATCCTCCACCGGCAGCCGCGCCCCGGGAGCCCCGGACCCGCCCCAGATGAGCGGCGGCGCGTCCCCGCGCGGCCCGCCCGAAAGCCAGCACTCTCCTAGGGATAGACTCCCGTCCCAGCAACTACAGCAGCAACAGCGGGAGCAGCACATCCCCAACCCGGCAGGCGGTCTCCGCCCCCCCTCCCCGCCGGCCGTCAATGAGAGCACCCTCAGCGATATAAGCCGCGTCAACAGCCCCAGCATCTCCAAGTCCGTCCTCGAGCCCCTCCAGCGCAAGATGCTCGAGTACCACCGCCTCATGGACGAAGCTCAGGGCCAGATGGCGCAGTACGATGAGGAACTCCGCCTCCTGCAGGAGCGCCGGCGCCTGGCTGAGCAGCGGTTCGTCGATGCCAAGGGCAAGCATGATGAGTACGAGAGGCAGCACCTCGATGTTGAACGGGCGCTGCGCGGTGATTATGCGCCGCCTCAGCAAGTGCAGCAACAGCAGATGATGCAGCAGCAACAGAGTCAGCAGCAGATGTATCAGAATAGTCCGCCTAGAACGGTGCCGAGACCGGCATCGAGTATCATGAGCTATGATGATCGGCCGATGAGCGGGCATAGCTCGGGCCCAAAAAAGGGGAAGCTGAGGTTCAGTTTGTTTGGGAGGTAGATGTGTTTGGGAGACTGGGGACCTTAGATTGTGTCTTGTTTGGGTGGATAGAGCGGCTATAGAGAAAGGCTTTGCTCGTACTTCTTTTGTGTTAATATTCTTATGGATTGGGAGGGGGTTTGGGATGGAGGACAAAGGGGCTGTCATGTTTGGATGATGGCATTGATGTAATGACAGGAGCAACGTACAATATGGTATATCAAAGATTGGTTTAATGGCAAAGATCCTTCATTGTTTATTGTGTGGTTTTGTTTCTACGAACATCTCTGCATTGCTTTACTAACACTGCACACCCAACTTTGGCCCTTATATTGGTTACTTACAGGTGAGGATCTAGAAGGTTGGCTTGTCAGTTGACAGGTTGCTTAATTGAGTTATGATCAGTGGAGGACTGGCTGTCAACATTTCTGCAAACCTATTGAAGTTTGGCGCAATTGTTGTCTGAACATGCCAGGTACTCAGTCGTTCCAGACTCCCAGTTTGGCAGACCTCACAAGGCATCTTGTAACTACGAGTGTAGTGTGTTATTCACAAACACCTTAGTCTGCTGTAACGGTGATTTTTCTTCCTGGGCAACTGTCGAGACCACTCTTTTGATGCGAGCAGCCAAGTATTTATTGAGCTACAGCATCCCTCACAAGTGCGCATAGATTCAAGCTCTCATACTCCCGATGTTCAAGGCCATAAACCTTTAATCTTTTGAGCATCTCTGTCTTTGGCTCTCAAGTGCACATTGGATACCCAAACGGTAGCATCTACAGACTACCCCTGAGATCGCCTCTCATCCACGCCTGCTTCTATCCCTCAGTATTCTCTACCAACACGGATAAAGACGTGCAAATAAGAAATTCTCATGCACACATCATTGGCACATTAACTTGGACGTCTCCTTCCTTCAATCTCATAGGTGGAAAGTTTCTCCGAGCCAGAGAGATTCGGATGAATATTCAGGTCAATATGTCTGCTCCCGCACCTCCAACTCGAATATCCAATCAGATGCCCCGCTTTCCGTTTGCAAATGCTTCCTTCCTTTTCTCACTCACCGCACTCCGACATATTTTCTGACCGCTACATCTTTTTTTCTCTGTTCCTTTTCCACTTGAGTCGCGGAAGAAATACCATGAACCGCGTCGCGTCGCTCTCACACTCGCTACTCAAACTCAGCGCGACATGGACTTCTTGCTACTCGATCCCATGGGTCAAATGGCAGCAATCATGGATCCACCCAAGGAACCGGACAAAAATCGCATCCACTCAGTCCTCCCGACAAAGACGTTCCCAGCCAGCCTTCTGAGGCAGACTCACCGCGAGCTAGTCCGACTGTACGAAGCTCATGGCGAGACCGTCGTCACCTACTGGAAGGGACTTGACCGAACCGGACGGGAGTTTGTGTTGAGGAACAGTTCTGTATGCCCCGTTCTGAGAACCTTCGAGTCCCCTGGCCCCGGGTTTTCTCACTTTCTCGGACCCGAGTGGAATCACGAAGACATCAGCGATCCTGACAATAACTCATTTCTCGACCTCCTCAGACATCGCGCCACGACATCTCTCACCGACCAGTTCATCAAGGGCGCAAATGGCGTTCAGGGCGACTGCGTCTTCACCTACTCAAGGTTCGCCGAGCAACTCATCCCATGCCTGGAGCACTTCAACGGCGACGTCATGGTATTTGAGGACTGTGAAGAGTACCCTCGCACTGCCGACATCGTTGCCTACTTCGAAACCATAGCCGGCGTGAGAACAGATCGCCATCTGTGGGTACCCGGACCCGTTGGTGAGCTGATCGTAGCGAGACAGATGTTCTGGGCAGAGATTCTTCATCGGGCCCTCGTCACCATCCTCACAGTTCTGGCCACCGATCGCAAGCACCCAAAGTGTACATGCCACGAACACGAGAAGGGAGAGGTCCATGGTAACGAGATTCTTCCCAAGCTCACGCTCACCAGTGACTCCGGCCTCCGGCCCTTCATCAACTTCATCAAGGCTGAGGAAGACGAGACGATCATCTGGTCGCAAAAGCTCCTGGCAAAGCCTGATATTCTCCTGATGGAGGCTACGAACTAGTGGCTCAGCCTCCCAGAGAGAGTCCCAGACGCCAGCGGACACATACTGAGCGTGGAGAAACTCGACAGGCACGTCGGGGCTTGCATTTTCGATCCCTACTACGCCGCCGAGAAGGATGCCAACACTTCTTACTACATTCGCGTCCTGCTGTGTTCGTTGCACACCATGGACAACTCGCGAAAGACGGCCAAACGACGCGAGTTCTTGCTGCAGGAGCTATCCAACGTCCTTCATCTCAAGTTCCTGAAGTTGCTGGAGTACGTCAAACGATGGCTCCACTGCGGAAAGGCAGAAAAGTACTTCAAGCGCCTTCCAAACACCTACGACCATTTGGGCAGCGAAGTTGTTGTCCTCAAAGATCGAGCCATTGACAACAAGAATCGCAAGATATATTACGGTATGCAGCTTTGCAAGCCTGGATTGACCCACAGACACGCCAGCTTCTGGCTCACGAAGCTGGCTCCGTACTACAAGAACAAAGTCTCAGGCGTGGCAACCATGGTTCCCGAGGGCGTCGAGTTCTCAGAGTTCCACACGAGCATCAACTTCTCGAACCTCAATCTGCTCGTGAGCTTCATCTCCGACCTGGACAAGCATCTGTGCCTCCCGCCCGTAAGCGATACGAAAGGGCAGCTGTACATCTCGCGTATAGATCACCTGGAAGCCGAGCTCGCCACCGTCAAGAGGAACCTGGACCTCCGCCGGATCGTACCCGACATTGACCGGCTAGCGGAGCCTCTTGTCGCTTCCGCGGCGAAGGAGAAGGTGGCCGATGCGATTGAGGAGAAGCTGGGTACCTGTCTTTCACAACGCTACTGGAACCTGGTGCAGAGCTGTGTCGACAACTTTCCCGATCTCGGACACTACGAGAGCAGCAGAGTCAACTTTGACGTCTGCTTCCCGAACTCTTCGCGTGAATATGATTCGGAGAAGTCGACTGAGCCTGCCAAAAAGAAGAAGAAAAAGCCGAAGAAGAAGAAGGCAAAGAAAGCTACAGAGCAGTCCGACGTTCTGTCGGAGCTTGAGGAGGAACCAGATGCCTGGGTCAACGATCTGAGTTCCCCGGCGCTGTCAAAGGCTGATGGGGACTCTTCGTGGAATGAGCTCGCGACTTCCGTGACCGGATCACTCTCCTTAGAAGAGCCTGAGATCGATCTTCCCATAGATGGCGTCTCCCTCAAAGCTTCCCAGGACTCGGGCAACTCTGAGTCTGAACTCGCTGACACTGAGCCGCAGGCACCCGATTCCTGGGTCAACTTCCCTGAGGCTTCAGCCAGCGCTTCTGATGCTGCGACTACGCCCACCGAAGCTAGCTTCGGCGACCCTCTTCGCGAAGATGATCACGAGGATTTGAACGAGAATGATGATGACGATGAGAAGCAGGATGACAATCAGAATTCCGAAGAGGACAAACAGGAGATTGAGGAGGGTCCCCGCAATCAAGACGCCAGCCTCTTGGCCAAACCTATTACCGAAGATGCTCCTCCCCAAGAAGTCATCTACGTCAGCGCCCGCACAGCAACCGTCATGGCAACAATGTTCGACAAGTCCCTCCACCAGGGATCTCTCACCTGGCCCGAATTCATAGCCGCCATGGCCGAGGTCGGCTTCACCGCCGACAAGAAAAAGGGCTCCGCAATCGCCTTCGTACCCTTGCCGCGGGAAGACGGCAGCTCGAGATGGAAACAGTCGATTCAGTTCCACATCACACACGGCAGCGCGTCGTCGAGGGTCGAGGGGTATCGGTCGCGCAAGATGGCTCATAGGTTGACGAAGGCTTTTGGATGGAATGCGAAGACGTTCCAGATTGCTTGATCTCTGGGTGGCATTGGCGGGTTTTGTGCAGCCGGGAGTCGAATCTTGCAGTTGCTGACATCATTGGCTTTTGCTGTATTTGGGGACGATTTCTGAGGATTGCGAGGACGTGGCGTACGTGGGGCATAGAGACGCGGTGGATTTGCTTCTGTTCTTGGATGCTGGCGAGGACACGATATCGAGACTTTGGCATCGTTTGCAGATGGTCCTGATTTTGTTTCTCCGGTATCCTTGGTTCGTTTGATAGTTGCTGGGCACCGATTGCCCTTGATTTGCTTTGGACTTTGTTTCTTACACTCGCTTTCTGAATTGACACTTCTCTTCTCTTAGACTATCGTCCCATTTTCTATTGCTTTGAACGTTTCTTCCAATTTTACCTCCGTTCTAAACTCTTGTATCAAAGGTACCTTATCCTATACTATAACGAGGCGACCAGAGTCTTCGCAAAGAGCATCATCAATCCCCGAAACTGAACTATACCACTGGTAAAACACTCTTCCCCCGGGACGGCTGTCCGGACTCTGTATACGGTGCGGCGTGTACGAGACGCTGTGCTGGACCAGTGTTTTTGTTAGGACTTAGCCACCTGTCGAGTAACTGAGAAGCTGCAACTCGAAGTCACCTATGTCAAGAACCGGTTATAAGAAGTACATTGGGTGTTCTCTCGGGACCATATTTTTTCCTCGAGAATACCCATGATAAGTACTGCAGCTGCACTCAATTCTACCTCGAGGCTTGTAGACGTGGTGTAGGGGGTTGAACACGACCAACGGAGGCAGGAGCCAATGCATGCCTGAGAAAGAGTTCTGGTCATATTCGACCTTGTGTACACCATGATCCCAACTCAGCAGGTCTTGTCACCTTGCTGCAATCTTACAAGTCGTATGATGACTTCATCGGTCACGCGCCAGGCGCAGATGACCACATCGACGGCGAACCCAACGCCCCCAAGACTAAGATCACCACAAGCTACTCACAAATAGTCATTGAGCAGTTGTCTGGCATGCCGACTGATAGTGTTCAACCCAGTTAATGGGGATAAGAGAGTCGCACAGTCAACTATCTTATATCAAAAGCCGCACTAGGCCTCCGCCAGGCTATTGTCTTTTCCATCTTTTTTCTTAATACTAAAAGCCGGGCCCACGGTGATACACCAAGAGACGCGGTCGCTCGGCAACTTGCCTCCTTACTCTTCCTTGGTTGGGTCAAAACCCCACGGTTCAAGGTTGTTGGGTCCTTTCAGCAAACAAGCCACTCATCAACTCTAGGGAGTCTGCTGTCTGTTGAGACCTACTTTCCAGCTTACGATTGCAAATAAGTCAATCATTCCACAATAACTGGAGGAAATACAACGTTTCAAACGCAACTAATCGCTCCGACGACCAGGATAACAAGGCTTTTCTCAAAACAATTGCAAGAAGCTGGCGAATTTGCCAGAAACGACGGGCTCGTTCTCAGTAGATTGGTCAGTATGTCTGAGCTGTGACATCCCCAACAAATACCGGCCGTGAAGTGGAAGAGGGCTGATCAGGTTGAGGAGGACAATAGCCTATTGGATATTGACGTTTCGGTGGTTCTTACTATAAAGATGTGCTCTTTCTCCGCTGTGTTTCACAGTCGTCGAAATATTGGACCGTCCCACGAATATTTACAGTACAGGGCTTTCGGTTTTTCAAACCTACACAGAGTGATAAGCTGTCTTGGAGGGAAAGAGAGGCAGACCCACGTCTCAGTGGTCTGAAGAACGAACGAGGGTCGCGAATGCCTCGGGCACCCATGAAGAATACGCCAAATTATGGACAAAGAGCGAGATGCCATGGGCCCGGAATCCGGCCACCATTAAACACCGTACGTTAGAAGAAGGGACCGGTGAATTCATGGCAAACTTCAGGGCCGTTTCTTTCGGGGATCTATGATATGTACGCCTCCCTGATCGAATCATATGCACCGACTTCAACGAGCAACACAATGAGGCCTTACGAAAGAGCCGCCAGAGAATCTCGTTTTATACCACTCCGGTAAGCATCCGGAAGTCGAGGAACCTGACGAAGGATTGTCAATCAAGCTAGTCAATGAGAGCCCCGATTGCTGAACACTAAGTGACTACCTCATGCCCGGTTTGTGTCGACTGTCCATCAAGTATTTGACCGTTATACCAGATCCTATTCCCAGACCTCGTCAACATCTGTGCATCGATACATTTTACCAAACACACCCCTAGCAGCCTCGAACTCCTAGTTCTTCTGCTCTCCCTCCAAGTAAGCCGGCGAACACAATCATCCTTTCACATTTCGAACGAGCACTTTGACCATGAAGCCAAGGCCGGACCAAACTTGATCTGCGACCTTTTTTTGAGTACGACACCTGATAATTTTGTCAACTTCCGGGTCATTGGAGGCCTGCAGACCTGTGTTCGGTGCATCAGGCACAACGACCCTATTGATAGTACTTATTCCTATCAGCTTACGTATCACTTCACCAACATGAGAGGTCTGGTAACAGTTTTAACCAAGCCAATACCGACTAGTTGTCCCAGGCATGTATGTCTCTCCATCTTGCCTAGCTCATGACTGACTTGATGTCTCTAGGTTTCAAATCGTTTTCACAACCGTACCTTTTGGTTAGGGGAGTGCGGGCTTGCAGTGACGAACGTGTCAGTGGAATTGGTCAGAGCGGTCAATCGTATCCTGTGCGTCAATGTTCCACCATATGGGCAAATGGAATGGCAGCTTGAGAGAAAGTGCATGTATGGTTGGTTTCTAGAATACAACATCTAACACAAGAACTGACGACGTCTATCCGTTGACATCAATTACAATCACATCTTTCGTGACTTGAAACTTGAGTCTCTCCGGGGGGGCTTCGGTTCGGGCGAGGCGGTTCGGATCCAACGGATCACTTACAATGAAGCCGGTTGTAGCAGCAATCTTGAGCTGCTCAGACAAGCCGGAATCCACCATACAAAACGCGGCAATGCGTATTCAATTAATCGACCGTCATGTTTCCCCCAGAACTCACCATCTCACCATCTCACATAGAGTGTGCCTACGAGTTTGCATTCTGAACGTCATCATTATAGAACTTGGTTGAACTCCGTTGTTTAATACCTCACAGTTCCCCATGGAGCCCCGCAAGAAAGCCAGTTTGCCGATCGCGGGGTGGATGTCACGACGATCATTGTTCATGCCGAAATTCTTACCGAGCCGAATCTCTCTCAGGGTGACATTAAATTCTTCCGTCAATTAGCCAACCATCCTCAACTCCACATTCGGCATTCACTAGCCTCCCCCGCTTCTGCGGAATACGAGGAAAAGTGGGTGAAGCCTCGCATACATGTTCGCAGCAACATCGGACTTACAGATACCTACTTACATAAATGTATAAGGTCCAGTAGCTCTAGATCAGAGGGTTTGATATTCCACTCTTTCATCCTTCTGCGCGATCGTCAAGTCGCCCCTCCTTTCATGTATCAAGATGCAGTCCTGGACCCCTTTCACTTTGATCGCTTCTTTGGCGTTGGGTAGCCTCTTTGTGCCCAGCATTCACGCCTTACCCGGCCCGCGCGTAGAAACAAAACATGGCATAATCACTGGCTTCAAAGATGCAACAGCACCAGAGGTCGCGCAGTTCTACGGCATTCCTTACGCTGAAGCGCCCATCAGAGAGCGAAGATGGCTACCCGCCTTGCCCAAAGAGTCTTTCGGAACCTTGGACGCGTCGGTAAGGCGACCATCTTGTCCACAAACAGATCCGCCCGGCACCGGAGGCGCGTGGGCTGCTGAGTTCTTAATTCGACCCAACAGCACCAGTGAGGATTGTTTGACGCTCAATATCTGGACCCCGGCCAATTCGTCCAAGGCCCTCCCGGTTGTTGTCTGGATTCACGGCGGTGGATTCGGTGCGGTATCGTACTTTCCTTTCATATTCACCTCGTCCGCAGTTTGTAAGTGCGTAGGTTGTACCAACAAAGACGTAACAGGGAAGTAATGATATTGCCTATCAAACTCCCACTCGATGGGTCCAAAGAAGTCAGAAGCACATTGTTGTCGCCATCAAGTAGGACCTCTCTTCCATCCTGGTACACAGTTTAACTGATGTGAGAAAAGCTACCGCGTTGGACTTTGGGGTTTCCCAAACGCTGCAGGCCTTGAACTCACGCAACAGAATCTAGGTCTTCTGGACCAGCGGTTAGCTACTGAATGGGTGCGGGACAACATCGCACAGTTTGGCGGTGATCCCGAGCGCATTGTTCTCTGGGGTCAGAGTGCTGGAGCCGCATCGGTCTCGTATTATCAGTACGCCTACTCCGACGACCCCATTGCCATTAGCTTCGTCAAAGACTCAGGGTCACCATTTATCCCGATCGGAAGTACCGATGCAGTACACGGCAACTTCTCTTCCCTTGCAGCCGCATTCGGATGTCAAGAGGAAGAGCTTAACTGCTTGAGGGAGGTTCCTTTCCGGAAAATACAAAAGTATCTCGATCAAGCCGGTAATTTGACATTCAACGTTATTGTAGACGAGAAGACCAAGTTTTCTGACTACGAAAATCGGACTCTGGATGGGAAAGTTGCCAAAGGCGTAAGTGTCAACCCCATCCAGGCACGTAGCAGCCATATTGACTTTGTCATCGGGAAGCCCTCGATCGTTGGCTCGACCAGAGATGAATGGAACTTCGCCGGCAGCTCTACCATTCCCCCAACAAATGGTTCCGACGTGGTCCCCGACAACCTATTCGGCTGCCCAGCACAATACGAGACTAGCCTGCGAAACATAGCTGGTCTCAAGACCTACCGCTACATGTATTCCTCCAACTTCACCAACATCATGCCCGGAGGCCAGGGTGCCTTTCATTCCGCAGAACTTCCGCTTATCTTTGGAACACATGACATTGCTCGTCAGAACTCCACAGAGTTCGAGTATGAAGTCAGCGAGGAGATGCAGGACTTGTGGTTGTCATTCATCATCGACCCTGAAGATGGACCGGTTACTGAAGGCTGGGAAGCGACGCCGCTCGGAGGCCTTGAGACACTGCAAACAGGTATTGATATTGGGTATAATGGCTCTGTTGTACAGCCGTTCTCTTGGAGTTCCTGGCAGACCGCGTGCGTCCGCGGTGTTGTTGCCTGAGGTACTCAAGTGAAGGCTGGATCGATTGAGATTGCCGTAAGATATCTCAATGGTAGCGAATACATGTTTTTCATCCAGTCTTTTGACGGGAGAAGTAGGGATAAGTCACCCATGACATCAATGGGATGATACTGACTATTGCCAAAGTCAACAAGAATTGCCTCTCGAGCTTAGAAATGTTGCAGGCAGGGGCACAATGAGGTATTGTCTTTATTTATCAACTAAACGGATCTGCAAGCCGTTCGGACTTCCGTTTGATTGATGGCCAGCATGAACCTGACAGGGGTCACATCTATGACCGTGCACCTCAAACGGCTTTGATCGACAGGAAACATGAGACACGTCAGCAAGGCGCAGACAAACCTCAATCTTCACAGGTCATTTGTGAAAGCAAAGCCAAGCGCGTCTTCCCTAGAGCCAAAGGAGTGATGACACCGAAAGCTACATTTCTCATTGAGGCCAATTAAGCTGCGGCGCCCGGAGTGTAACTAGACTTAACCGAACCTGCAGGCGGGGACAAATTCCGATTACATGCAGACGGGGAGAATGTCCGATCCAGTCGGTCAACTCAAAACATGGGGTGCTGACAGACTATCGGCTCTCCGCCCCGAAAGAGCTGTGGTAACGTTGAGCAAACCTTGCCGCGACATATCAGGCCTGTCATTTCTCGGTATCGGGTGCCGCGTCAAGAGTGCATTCCCGGTACACTATTATAGACTCAGCCTAACGCATATTCGGCCCTTCGCTCCTACTGTCAAGGTTTGACTAAAACGTAGTAACAGTGTCTGATGTTCGGACTGTTGCGAAGCGCCCAATGAAATTGCCTACGCGCCGAGCGCCACCCGGGTCTTGCGCACCGCTCGGCTAGATGAACGCCAAGTAAAGAGCTTAACCTCTTTTTCCGATTGAAATTATAATATAAAGTTGACTTTTATATATAATGTACCTATATAGTAAGCGGCGCATTATAGCGAGCGGCGCACTTTTTATAACCTCTTAACCTTTTTTATAAATTAACATAGCTATAATATATAAAATTAATTAAAACTATATATTACCCTCTTTTTTATTATTATCCTAAACTACTTTATAAGTTTATATATTATATCTAGGCTTCTTATAATTATTATATTATTATATATATAGTTTAGTACTTTCCGTACGACCTTCTTTTTAAAAATTATTTTTTTTTAATATTAATATTACCCTTTTTTATTTCTAATACCTCTATTTTAATATTATTAAATAACTTTCTAAAACGTAACTAGGTCTTTTTTACTCTTTAGTACTTATTTAGTACTTCTATCCCCGTATAAAGCTTATAGTTCTTTATTTTAATAATAATAAGCTTATAAACTAACTTATTAATACTTCTAGTTTAGAAATTAATTACTTTATATATTAATATTAATAAGCTATTTTAATATATTTAAATTTTATTTTTTAAAAAAGTAGTACTTCGTACGCCCTTTAATATTATAATTAGTATTTTTAAGTCTTAAAAGCCTCGGTTACTTAGCTATAAATTTAATAATATTAGCGTTTTTAGCTTAAAATTTAAGTAAAAAATAATTATTTTAAAATTAAAAAGTATAAAGCTTACTTACTTAAAACTAGCTTATATATTATTTTTACTTATTAAAATAAAAAATACTATTTTAAAAGCGAGAAAAAAGTTATTTTTTATAATATACGAAATTTATATCCGTATTATTTTTTTTATTTTTTTATTATATAAGTACTTTAACGAGCTAAAATACTTAATATTAAGAAGCTAAAGCTTATATAATAAATAAAAAAGTATATAAAAAGTAATAATATTTTATTTCTTATAATATTTATTAAAATTAGTTAATTTATAGCTATTATAACTATTAAAAATTAAGAGGTAATAAGAGCCCTTTATACGAGTCTTTATATACTAATTAAAATACTTTAGCTAATCTAAGCTAATATTATTTATTATCTATTTATTTTTATTTAAATAAATATATTATATAGCTAAGAATTAGTTATTAATATATTAAAAAAAGAGGTAATATTTATTTTTTATAATAATATATAGAAGTAGTACCTAGCTATTTATATATATACCCTAGATAATAAAAACCTATTTTTAATTACTAAACTATTTTATATAAATCTTTTTATTATAATTAAAAATCGTAATAACTTTTATATATAATAGTATTCTTATTAAAAAGCTAATTTTATTAAAATTATAAATATTATTATTATATATTTTATACTTTGTAATCGTATTTTATATAAAAATAAACTAGCTTTATATAATAATAAGATCTTTAACTAAGGCCCTTTAATAATTAATTTAATATTAAAATCGCATTTTTAATTTAGGGACGTATTATATAAAACTTTTTATTTATTATAGTTTAATACGTATTTTATTATATATATTTAAAAATTAATTAGCTATTTCTTATATATTTTCTTATTATAAAAAGAACCTTTAATTAATTAAATTAATAACTTAATTATAAATTACCTCCTCTTTTATTATAATTATTTTTATTAAATTTAATTATTTTTTATTTTATATAACGCGTTTAGTATATTAATAATAAAAAGTTAATTTAGGGACTTTAAAAGTAAAAGTAGCTCTTTATATAAATATTTTTAAATCTTTTTTAATAACTTAGAAAATAAAAATAATTTAGTTTTTATCTAAAAAGGATTACATATTCGTACGTAAAAAAAAAGTATCCTAAAAATAAAAAAAATAAAATTTTAAAAATATGCGTTGCTCGTTATAATACGTTACTCGCTATATAAATAAGTTAAAAAATAATAATAAAAATATGAAAAAAAATATAATAAAAATATAATATACTTAAACTATAATAATAATTAAAAACGCTTAATAAAGTCAGTACTTCCTTATTTATAATAATAATATAAAAAATATTAATAATAATACTTAAATTATTAATATTTTATAAGGCTTATAATAGACCCTTTAAAAATAAGCTATAGCCCGCGGTAGTTTTATTATTTAATATTTAAAAGATTAGAGCTATATTAGTACTAATTCTTATTTTATTATTATTTATAAAAAAATTAAATACTAATCCTTACTAAATAATAATAAAATAAAAAAAAGTAATAAGTAATTAGTAAGGTTTTAATAGTTTATAAAAAGATAATTTAATATTATTAATAGCGCTTTTTATATTAAAAGGGGGGGTAATATTATAATATTAAGTATTAAGCCTCTACGTACCCGGGCCTTAAGTACTTAGCGGACTTTTTATAAATTATATAATTACTAAATTGCTAAGCTTAAAAGCTTAGTACCCTAAATTCGTTTATTAATTTATTTTTTCCCTTTTTATATTAAGTTATATTTATTAAGTTAATATAAGTAGCGTTTTAACTTATTTCGAGTTCCTTTTTATAATATAAAAATAAATAAATTATAAATAAGATCGGCCTAAATTAGTTAAAGTATTTTAAAAATTATATAAAGTTTTATATAAAAAGTATTAAGTAGCTCCTTATTTTTAATAATTATAATTATTATAAATTAACTAAATTTAATAATTATTATAAAGAATATAGTATTATTACTTTTTATATACCTCCCTATTTATTATATAAGCTTTAGCTTTTTAATATTAACTATTTTAATTTATTAAAAGCTTTATATAATAAAGAAATTAAGAAAATAATATAAATATAAATTATATATATTATTAAAAACGACTTTTTTTTTATTTTTAAAATAGCCTTTTTTATTTTAATAAAGAAAAAAAAATGTATAAGCTAGTTTTAAATAGGCTAGAATTATACTTTTTAATTTAGAAATAGTTATTTTTTATTTAGATTTTAAATTAAAAACGCTAATATTATCTAACTTATATTTAAATAATTAAGGCTCTTAGGACTTAAAAATACTAACTATAATATATAACGTTATATAAAGCTTTATTTTATTTAAAAAACGGATTTATAATTATTAAAATAATTTATTAATATATTTATATAAAATTATTAATTTATAAATTAAAAATATTTATAAATTAATATATAAACTAGCTTTTATTAAAACTAAGTATTATGGGCTTTATATAGTAAATAAAATACTAAATAAATATTAAAGGGCTAAAAAAACCTAATTATATTTTAAGGGGTTATTTAATATTATTAAAACTAAAGTAATTTAAATAAAAAAGGGGGTAATTAATATTAAAAATAAGAATATATATTAAAAAAGTATTTATATAAAAGAAAATAAATTATATAAGTAATAATATAATAATTATAAAAAGATTAAATATAATATATGAATATATTAAATAGTTTAGAAAATTTCTAAAAAAGAGGCTAATAAGTAGTTCTAATTAATTTTATATAATATAGCTAAATTAACTTATATAAATAGTAAGAGGGTATTTAAAAGTAGGTAACTTATTATAATAAGCGACTCGCTATATAGGTACGTTAATTTAAATAGTTCTTTTATAATTAAAATTAATATTATAATACCGGTCTTAAGAAGTAAACCGTTTCTATATTATCGGTTTTATTTATAAACCGCTTATTATTTATTAATCTTTTTTATTATTATATAACTTATTTATAGTTTTTTTATTTTATTAAAATAACCTTTATATTAGTATTTTATATATATATATAGCGTATTATAACTACTATAAGCTTGTGAGGTAGGTCCTGGTCATAGTTATATATATTAAGTCGTAATAATATACGGTATAGCCCCGGCGGATTGCTCTGTCGGGGGGATAAAAGATAGTATATTATAGGGTTATTAAGACTATAAGGTTGCTTAAATACCTTCTAAGGGCGGGGCACTACTTACTTTTAGTTAATTAAACTACATTTGGCAAATGGCTAGAAAAGTGGACTCTGAAGTTTGGAGTAAGGTACAAGCTGCTTCGTTCCCTTTCTCGCTTTGGGTGCTTTGTTTCCCGAACCTCACTATTCAAGAATCCCATCGTCAACTCGAAATATTTTCACTC